GGCAGAAGGGGAGATACTGTTTAGCAAAGGTTTGGTCAAAGGATCGGCTTCACTTGTCTCTGACGTGTTGTAATATGGTACTACAATCGGAAGTTTATACTTACCTGATCTACAGTAAAGTGACGACCAAGTGTTGAGATGGCGGATGTCCTCCAGGTGATGGTTCCCCCCGTGGCCCCTTCAACGCCGGTAGTATTGAGAGTTACCATCCGGCCGATCGAGGAAGGGATAGGATGTTGTTGTTGGACTCCTATACGCTGAGACTGGGTATGCATCGGGTGATACTAAAAAATTAAATAAATTTCGTTAAGAAGAGATATAATAATAATATCGGTTTTATGTAAAAATCAAGAAATACATTTTATCTTACTATAGGGAATTCCAAATTTGGCGACTTATTCTCAGTTGAAAGATACTGTAATGGCGGTATCAATGAAATTCAAATATTGTTTAAGTAAGGTCCTAAAATAATTTCTTGTAAAAGATAGAAGTTTAGCAAAAACGAATGATAAATTCAAGTTATTCATAGCATTTCGAAACTCGCAATCATCAAATGTGGCTAGACCATACTTGACTATGCATGAACAAAATTTTGCTGTTATAATGAAGTAGAATTTTCTTCTACCTATTATTAGCGTGAATATCAAGTAAAATGAATTGGAACTTGAAAGGATGATATATTTCATTAGGACAGCAAATGGGTAATGAAAAGTTATAGTGTCAATAGACACTATGCAAGTATGGGTTTATTCGTGGAGTAAAACAGCAATTGAAGGCTTGTATAGATGATACTACTTTTAAAAACATTGTCCAACCAGGTTAAGCAATTGGATTTAGGAGGAATGACGATCTTCGGATAAATTTCTCTAAGCAAATAGGTTAAATCGAATACGCATATAAACAGGAATACAGAATATAGACGCAGTTTACAGTGGACAAATCAACTAATTGGAATTTGCGTTAGGTCCGCACTTGATTCTTCATGGGTGAATAATGTCGAAATTGGCTTTCTCAATTTATAGGATATATATAAACTAAGCAGACAAAAAAGCCAGATAATAAGGATAAAATCAGTGAATATATGTACTAGGACATATAATAAGATGCAGTAATCTAGTAGATATAAGACTTATCTGGAATGATAAACGCAACCAATCATCAAGCTAGTTCATAATCTTTAGCCAATAAGTAAATGTGATAACGGTTTAAGGTAGCAAAATAATTTCAGGGAATCCAAATAGATTACCATTAACGGCTGTTGATGTGAATGCTGCTGTATCAATGTAACTCCGCTGCCACTGGCTCCTGTCCCACCAGGAAAACTGCTTGTGCCCACCAAATCTACAACTCCCCCAGTCGCACCACCTGGTGATACGGTTAGGCAGATACGTTGCTGTTGTTGCTGCTGTTTGGATTCGGGTGCCGAGTGATGAGGAAAGTGTAACGAGGTCATACCACCAACAACTCCACCTACCTCGGAATCAAGGGGGCCAGGGGCAGAAACACTTGAGATAGAAGTGAGCCCAGTCAGAGAACCAGATGAGAAGCGTCCACCTCTGGCCAGTTGTTGTTGCTGTTGTTGCGCGTGTTGTTGTTGATAGTGCTGTGACAGTATATAGCTAGTTGTGCTGACGTTCAAATGGCCTGTAGAACCCAAACTAGCGGGTACAGTAGTAGAGACCTTAAGGGTTCGAGGAACCCCTATGGTAGGATTGATAGGAATGCCGCCCGCTACCATATTGATGCCCGTAGGGCCTGTAGTCGAGCCCACAACTCCTCCGAATGACTGTGTTTAAAGGCGCATTCAAGTAAGAGGTGGTAGGATAATGGAACATTAATACAATGTCATTAAGAGGATAAAAAATAAAAAATTATTATTTTTCAATTTCACACTTTATTTACCAAATAAATAATGTTTATTTATCTCTTATTGTAATATGTATCCCCTTTTTCACTCATTCATACAATGTTGTGCCAAGCTTTAGCATATTGGCACAAAATTGTCGATGCTTCTCGTTTAAATTGAGTGTGCCATTTACCTATCTGTGATTAAGGTATTGAAGACGAAGTTGTTAAAAAAAAGTACAAGGCTTGTTATATCCATCGAAGAGTACCGGATTTGTTAGCTTCAAACATATACTTCCATGAGAAGAACTGCAGTGTCTCTGAGATCGTTCTTATTTGAATAATCAGTGAGGTTTATTAGTAAACCTATGAAGCAACACTCAAACAAGCTCTTGCTTTATAAAAAAAGTTTCGGTTTTAATGTAAAGTAGATTTTGTTAATAATGCATGCGGGAGTAAATGTAGCTATAAGCAATAGCTTCCTAAACAATATTTTAATTGGGATTTATCTTCAAACATTATTTAATAATATACAATTCTACGACTTTGTTAGATAATTTGATTCAAAACCTAACTCAAGAAGGAAAAGCTAAATCAGCCACTTGCTAGCATCACTACCAAACAAAAAGAGAACGTTTTGATAGCAAATGCTAATCGTAGTGCATGTGAGGTATTTGGTCTGATTTATGCAACACCAGAGTAAATTGCATGATGGTACAGAAAGAATTGCCAGCTTGGTCGTGGATCAAGTAATTGAAATGAGAGTATACTTTTTAGTCTACCTGAAATATTAGTGTTGCTGCCAGAGAAGGCTAGGATCCCAACTCAAAATGCCAAGGAACTGAAATACCATTCGAACTGCCTAAAAATTCACCTTTATAGCTATCGGAATAATTGAAAACAAAACTCACCAGAACCCCTGT